CATAAAGAAACGTTTTTACAAGAATATCGTTGTTATCGATACATCGTTAAAACTGCCCACGCATGCAAGGTTCAGCCCCATATAAGTATTATATACAAAATTCACACATTATTTTGCTTATTCATAGCCTATGAATAATTTTGAAAGGTAGGATGACAGATGAATAATTGCGAGGCTGGCGAAGATGAGAGAGTTCAAATTTATTAATTTATTGTGTCTTGTTAAGCGTAAAACTGATCCATGCGAAATGGATCGCGATGATTGAACATGGCACTTTTTGCCTGAATAATGGATCCGAACTCTGTAATTAAAAATTAAAAAGTTTTATGCGATGTATCAACTTGTACGATTGTGCACGTAGCTCATTTTATCACTGAATTTATTTCGCCTTGTTAAAGAGAATTTACTTATCTTGACTAAAGATACGAATTTGAAAATTGAATCCAATTGAAATTTGGTGAATTAACATTCTCAATCTTGTCGTAATCTGCAATTTAAGTTAAAAAGCTAAACAAACTTAGAATCTTAGAATATTACTTAAAAGAAGAATCAAATTTCTAAAAAAAATTGCGATCAAAATATATATATATATATATATATTTAATCATTGCTAATAATTAGTGAGTAATCAATTTTATGAAGCCTTGATTAACTTTAACTCTGATCGCGTTAATTTTCTTTCCCTGAGGATAATTGTTATTTCGAGATACGTATACTATCGACTCGTGATTTATTAATGATCTTTATATGAAAAGAGAAGCAATGTGAATAAATATAAGAGAGAAAAGTTAGAGATAGAAAACTATCGGATACCAGCAATTAGAATTTCGTAAAACAATGGCGCATAAAATGAAGAATGATTCATTCGTAGGAAATGCATTATAAAAGATGAATCGCGATTTATAAAATATGCGAAAGTATTTATAATAATCGGACGTTTTTTCCTTCATCTTCGATTAATCGCCGAGGGAGACACTTGACCAGCGATGTGTAAAATACTATTTCCATTCTCAAATATTAGTAGCTACATTTTTCATTATTTATGCCTGTCGATTTATATTTTTATTATCATCAATTATTTAAAATATCAGAGATATTTCAAGAGTGTAATATAGTGTAATCCGTCTCTATTATTTATATAAAAAATAATTCTCACAAAAAAATCCCATTAGATTTCTACATTAATAATTGTTTTTAAATGATTATACTGATAATTTTTAGAAGATATTAGTTTTTTTAATATAATAGATATTAATAATGATTATATAATCTCATTAGGTATGATAAGTTTTTTCTGAAACCTAATCCGCACTTGAGGAATCAACCATTTCGCGAATATATATTAAAAACTATCTTTTTTGTAGAAAATTTGATAAATTTTATTCATAAATTAAAATATTTAAAGATAAAAGAAATATTATAGAAATTATATAAGCCTTTTTTATAAAATTGAGAAATATTTAATTATCTACATTAAAATAATTTGTATTTAAATATATCTGCAAATTATCGTAAATTATATTAAATAATGTGTAGCAATAATCACACAAAATCACATTATTTATCTAGAAATGTTTTTCTATTAGTAGAATATTGTGAGAAATATTTAAGATGTTTTCGTTAAGATGTTATTTGTTTTTCAACCCTCGTGATAATTTACTCATCTCTGGCGTGGATGTATATTTATAATCTGCACACGCTCTCCCTTTTTATTTGTCCACTAAAGGTATGTTTTTTTAGTATTTTTCATACTCTTTATACATTGTTTTTACAGTTAAAATAAAAGAAAACAGATGTAAAGGGCATAGTTAAAAAGGACGCGATGAATTGTTACGAGACAAGATTACTCGGATTCTTGATAAATTGTAATCGAGCGGAAGCATCAATTTAGAAACTAATTGAATTGCTGTGCTTTAAATTAGCTTAAACGCTAAGCCCCGTTTTATTATTTATTGCTTCTTTTTTTGCGACAAGTTTCTTTTTGTCGCGTCTTCGTGTCGCGCGGCTAAATTACTATTAACTGTATTAATTGTCACTTACATTAAAATAGTAACAATATATATCTATCCATTCTTTATTTTGTGACAATTATCGTACAAATTATGGAAAAGTTAAAATAAATGTAATAAATTATTTGAAAACTTGTCCCATATTTTAATTTAATTATCAATCCCTTTTCTATATTATATAATTATATTTTGTGTTAAGTTGCAAATAAAGATAATCTATAGTTATTTTAAATAATTTAATTTAATAAAATAGTTAACTATTTACTTTTTCTCTAAATTTTGTTCATAATTCAATATCGTTTGATCCTGCAAACGAAACGTCTATTCCATAATAATAAATAAATAACATTGTAAATTACTTTACTTTGCAAATTTACATAATGTGTTATTTTTGATAAATTATAAATTATTTTTGTGAACTATAAGCATTATCTCCATTAATTATATCAAAGATCAACTACATTAATATAACAATAAGTTAATAATAATTGGACGAATTATATTTTGTTTTAGTCTATATTCCATTGCTCTCATAAATAATTTTGGAAATTGTTAATAATATGTATATTGAATCGTTTTTGATTACTGATCAATTACGTTAATGTAACCTAGTATATTGGGGGATAATAAATTTTCAAATTTTTAATATATTTCGTTTAACTTTAGCTTCAATCAAATAGTTTTAAAAGATCTTTATTATCATCAATTACGTCAATGATTAACTTTGTTAATAATAATACTAAGTTAACAACATACAGCTATATATACAGGATATTCCAAGGTATTGTTATGTCTTCTATAAATTCTTTCTTCTCAGTCTGAAATCTATCGATTTTTAGTAGAAATGATGTGTATTTTAATTTAATTTAATGTAATTTAATAATTAACTTTTTATAACTTTATAATGTCAGGATGTTCAAAATATAAAAGTTTGCACAAGAACTAAACTTTTATTTTACTAAATTTTATCAAACTGATTTTGATTAAATATATGATTGAAAAATATAATATATAAAGTTAAATACTTACAAAATAGGTATGGCATTTAATTAAATTTCCACTAAAAAAGATAGATTTAGAATTTATCAAGGAATTTATAGATGAGGAAAAATACCTGATACCTAAAGCCATCCCGTAAAAACGAGCGTATCGCGAATTTCAATCAGGAGGAGACAATGCAACTTTTGGTAAAAACGATTCGGTGCACTTGTGTATCGTCGTGCAATTAATGCTCGACATTATTATACGACGGTCAAACGTTATCTAAATCGTACCGGCAATACTGCATTCACACCCTGTATTTAAGTATAAGCATATTTGCGTATGCTATAAATCAACACTATTCGTTAAGTTTTTCTCTCAGATTACTTACAGATACTTTCCATACGTATAAGAGTCACTTAGGTCACTTAAAACAAATTTCGATTAACTTAATTGGAGCAGTTAACAATTTATCAAATAATCTCTGCATTTTAATTGAAATTAACATTTTGTAAATTATTTGGAACACGAAAAAATAGATTAAATAAGAAATGACAAATGATATTATTTACAATTATATATAGCTCGAAATTTTGCTATAGGCAACTCTGTCAATTAATTATATATGTATATATAGTTACTGATTAAGTTAATTGAAATTTAATCAAAGTAACCTTTAGATACAATTTCACGTAAAACATTCGACTATGCAATATGATTGAATGAGGAATACCAATCATATTTATTAGCTCAATAATACATGTACATACAATTTTGTTATTTAAACTATGTTTAATATTAATTATTGAAATTAGTAAAAATAAAATCAATGAGTGTAAAGTGCGGAAATTTCTAAGTCTTTCTGGATAGATTCGGAAATGCAATCAGTTACAAAACAATAAAGATAGTATTAAATAATAATCTCGTTTTCTTTACTTTATTAATTCTTTGTAAAATTAATAATTATTTATGATTTATGATTTATGATTTATATTAAAAAGCATACTTATCAAAAGAGAGAGAAGTTAAGCGATTAAATGGTTTCAAAGATTATGTATTTATGAATTGTGTCATTTGACTTTGTACTAAGCAACCTATTTTTCTTGCAGGATATATTTATATCTTTTTTAATATAAAAACAAGTATCAAAAAAATTTATTATTGATTTCTTATTAAAGAAATAAGGATTTTCCTTGTAAGACAAATCTTATGTTTAAGATTCTAAAAACACAACTATTTTTATAATAATTAGACTGCCAAGATTATGTCATTATTATTTAATTAAAAATCAATTTTTAAATTTGTAAATAGATATTCACGATGTATAATTTTTATGATAAATTTAAACGTTTTGATATTCCTCATTAATATATTTCACACTCGAGTTTTTAGTTGAAACTCTTATGTGTTGCGTGTCTTTCGTTCAAAACAGACTTTGATAAAATCTATTTAATTTGTCAAACAATTTTTCGACGTATAACATAATCAATAAATATATATATGCGTGTATGTATATGTATGTGTGTGTATGTGTACATATGTGTGTGTGTCATATACATATATATATATTTTTTGCTTTTCTATACAACAATGAATGTGTGAATAGGACAGAATAAGATCATTAGATCATGACATTTTCGTCCCTAACATTTCACTTCCAACATCTTGTTTTTACGAAGAGCGTGTCGAGAATAGAATGCATTTCAAATTTTTGCTATTAGAAACATTACACATATGTGTATAAATAAAGTGTATAATACTTAGAAATTCCGTTTATTATTACATCGAATTGTCGAAATTCCATTACGAAATATCACATTTTATAGTTTTATCACTTAATTTAGTTTAATGTATTTATATTAATTTTTAAACAAAAACATAATTTTTTACCGTAACATTGTATAATGTTTCTGTGAAAATCCTGGCTTTATATTTTGAATCTAAATAAATAGTATTTATATTTTTGTATATATTATATATATATATTGAACAAAAATAAATAAATTAATATAAAATATATAAATAAAATATAAAATATATTCTTTGCTTTAACAGATTAATTCTTCTAGAATTTTATAACAGCTATAAATCTTATAGAAATAAGTAATAGGAAACACACACATTTCATGCTCAATTTTTAAAATTTCTTACTCGGAATATTGTTACTTTATCTAAAAGATCATACAACTCACTCAAATAATACAGCTTATCGGCTAATTCTTAACAAATAGATATACACATAAAACTGTGCTATATAACTATAATAGAAATTAATATATATGTTCCTCGACGCGTTCTGAACAATGATTTAATGGCGTGCTCATAATAGAGGATGTTGGAAGTAAAATCCGCAAAACAATACATAAATAACTTATAGTAGCGGTGCAAGTTGCTTCCTTTAATCACTGCTAATATCACCTTCAATGTTCCTTTCTTTAATTAATTAATTCCTACATTTAATTCCACGATCTTCACGTTTATTTCGTCCTCTTTATTTCTCTTCGGAAAGTCATTTTAAATAGAGGCAAGAGTCACCTTATATAATGAACAATGTCTTGCTCGCAGATTTCTCGTTTGCTGCGAAATGTCCTTCTATCTGCCTTTAATTTATAAATACGAATCAAAGGATCGAGCAGCATCGCAAACGTCATTCGATTGTGACTCGACAAAATCTGCGACAAATGAAAATGAAGAAGAGATCCTTTCTCAAGATTTTTTACGATCGATACTCGGGTCCTGTCCTAATTTTATCCTGAGATTTCGCGTCGATGAAACAAGAGAAGCAAACGGTGCTAGATCGTTGATCGATATTTTATATGTTTTATTGACAGCTCTTCCAAGATTTGATCTGCCTTAATTTGCATTAGAATTAATTGGCATTTTGTAAATTATTACCGATGCTTCGTTATGCTTTCGTCGAAGAACGAATACGTCCTTTCGTCTGGGCATACGATCTATCGAGCCCAATTTTAAAGCAAGTCTTTAAGAAATGCATTTTACCCCAAATACTTAACCTCGATCACCGATCAATCTCTCGTGCGCATTAGATCCTTCCCGGGATCGTCGCACGAGGGTATAAAAGGATTTTCAAGTACGAAAGAGGATGTTTCTTCAAACATGCCTTTCAACTATTTCCGGGATCGCACGCGCGAATTGTTTCGTCGAGCATCTCAGAAATCTCACGAGGCATCTCCGTAAAAATTGTCTACTGCAATAAGCACAGGAAGATTTGCAGAAGGTGCCGCGAGTTTGCGCGTGCACCGACCCTCGGAATAGATCCTTCAAATTCGGGATTCGCGAGACTCCGTTTACTATTACAGTTGTGAAGCAGGAAAGGATTCTCTCTTCGATAGTGCTCGATCAGCCCTCTCGTATTTTTATTTTTTTTTATTTTTTTTTATTTTTTGCACACTCGCGACACTAACGAGGATTATTTCGCTACGCTCTTTTTGGCAGAGGGATGTCCCTCTCGATTCACGATCTTTCCCAACGATAAAGGATGACGAAAGACGTGAGCGTGATATATTCGGATACGCAAAGCAATGTTTTTTTTTTTTTACACGTACCACTCTTTAATGTCTATCAGTTCTCGTTTCTTATTAGGTTTGCTGCCGTTGGCGCCGTTCTTCAGGGCGCCGTTGAAGGGCTGACCGGAGCCCGCGGCACCCAGGAGGGCCGCGTTCGGGTCTTGGCAGAATGTCTTCGTCTCGTCCACCTTGTAGCTGGTTTCCGGCCGATTCTTGAACTTGAGGATTATCAATATGATGAGGACTATCGCTATCAGCGCGGCGGCTATGATGCCGATTATGAGCGCGGCATTCTCGGCCGCCTCGGAAGTGATTCGCTTATTGTTGTTGTTATTCTTGGGCGGAGTGGGCAACGGCGGATACATGGGTGGAGGAGGCGGTGGCGGCGGTTCCGTCATCTCCGTCGTGGTTGACTGCGTCGTCACGGTTGTCGACCGGTGCGTCACGACGCTGCTGCAAGGTGTAATCAAAATCATTTTGTTAAATCATTGATTGTTTAATCGTTGCGCGTCCAACTAATCATTTATAGGGGTAAATCGACGACGTGGAACATTCGATATCGATTTTTTTTTTTTTATTATTAGACGCACCGAATAGCTATGCATGGTCATGGCTTGCAAGATATTGTTTTTATTCCAGAAATTTAATGCATAATAATGTTTCGCACGCGTTCTGTGATATTTAATTTTTGATTAAATGTTCATTTTCTTTATATATATTAAGAGCGGTCATTTTAATTTTAAATAATAATAATAAATGTGTTTAAATAAGATTCATAACATTTTTTCTCTAAAATTCATGCTATCAATTGAAGTCTCCGCTTCATTTATTTATACAATATATCATAGATTTTTTTTATTGAAAAATAATTTCACTATAGCACAACATCTATATACCAAAAATCCTTTCTCACACAAATATATTGTGCCAATAATTAATAATGCAGATAATACGATACGTTCCACGTGCGTCTTGTAGCTCCAAGTGTAAAATGCACGCAGTCGGGCGATTTCGCGTTTACAAAACGTGCATGTATAATTGTTAATCGATATATACGAATAATCAACAATTATAATAGAAACGTTATCGCTGACAGACGCACGCACCTGCCATGGCTGGTCTCGAGGTCTGTAGTTGACACATTGTATTGGACGGAGACGGTGACGACGTCGCGGCTCAACGTTGTCGACGACGCCGAGGATGTCTGCGTGCTGGTATGGCTCGTCGAGTATTCGCGAGGCGTCGTGTACGTCACCGAGCTGATGTCTGCGACGGATGAAAAAAAAAAAGAGTGCGTTAGAGGGGTTGCGTTTCACCCTTGTATCGCGTCCGCGATTCGCGCGGAGGGGATGATCGTTCGAGGGAGAACGAGAAGGGTAGGAAGGTAAAAGGGATGGACGAAACGTGGAGGCGGCACAATATTTACGCGTGCGTAGGCCGGCAATATTCACGCGTGCGTAAGCAGGAACGTTGCGAAACGAATGGTCCCGAGGGTACCAGGACCGTATATATTTTGCATATACGAGGGACGCCCACGTTAAGTAACGCAATACGTTTAGCCAGTCTCGTTAGGTATAAATAGTATTTTACATTTTGTTCCAGCTCGCAAGTTATGTACAAATTCGAGAGATGCTAAACATCGTCACAGCGATAAACTCTTATAAACGAAACGTCTGTGAATTTCCACAATCAGTAGGAAGTAGTTAAATTTCTTTAAACCTAATATACAGGGTGTCTGACATGGTGTCACACCGGAAATATACAATTTTTCTCAGCAAAAATATCGAGGCATCAATAATTTTCGAGTTATAAGCGATTGAAAATAAAGGATTTTTCGCAAACTAAGCTCTACAGAGAGCATGGTTTCTTAAATATTTATATATTTAATTTTGTATTTTCCAATCAAAAATAACTTGTAACAAGATTATTAGATTTATAAGATATTTTTCTCAACAACGTTAAGTCTTTTATACGCGTGCTAAAAAGAAATTATGACAAACATTTTTTGTCTATATAACAGATAAGCTTCTTATGAAAATGTTCCATTATTTCAGATATCAAACGTGAGGGAAAAATTTTTAATTTTAAATACGTTCTTATAGGTGTTTCGTGCTTGACTTCCACGCAGTTTCCTCTTACACAATTATACAGATTGTAATAGACATACTCTTTTACAATCACGCATGAGAGAAATTTCAATTGTGCAGGTAGATATATGCAACACACTTTAACTTGGATATCAAACGCGAGAAAATGTCTCGGAGTTTAAATACGCTTTTATATGGCTGTATGGCTCGGATTAAATTAAGGACAGTATCTCGTTTCATGCTACGACGGGGTGAACATTGCTACTGAAAAGATTCTCGCTCCAGGGGTAGTAGAATAGTGCTATTTTCACAGTAGGCGACGATAGGTACGCGCGTCATGGAAAATCGTCAGGACGCCCACGTTGTAGTCTCGTAATGAGAAGAATTTTTCATTTAAAACTGATGGACAAGAACAGTAAGATCGATCGATGCTTTCGCGACAATTAATTTATCCTTGTATTCGTTTTCGCGATTATTGGATTAAATTTTTTAATTTTAAAATATTCCATTTTGTCTTCCATTTATTTAATCATAACAATTTGAGGAGGGTGGAATATTTATTAAAAAAAAAAAAAAAAACGGTATATTCTAGTGGATTTGACATTTTTATGGACATATGTAATATATAGCTTTGATCTAAGTAAAATATCTATAATAATTGTTTTGAATTTGAGCGACAGAGAAAATAATGTTCTTAACATCATCTTTTCAATCATATTAAAACTATTAAGACTATTAAAATGTGTATACCAAAAACTGTGCAAAGCGATGATTTGTTTGATAATTTTCGAGATAGAGCAATAATATTATCTTACATTCAGAATTTTCCAAATATATTTAGAGAAAAAATAGTTCTTTCCATCTCGAAAGATTTTCATTATGGTATTTGTTAAATCTTCCATTTATGCAAAAGTTTTAATTTTTATATTATCATCCTACATATATGTATAGCTTATTTCTACAAACTGTATTAATGCACATTTATTAAAAAAATAGAGATTATGAAAGCTCATTATAAATAACTTCTCATAACACATATCTTTCATTATTTAAATATATGCAGATTTAAAGCTGTTGGTGAGAGAAATAAGCTCTTTATTATATATAGTAATATCACCTTTAGATTTAAATTACGATTGAGATTAAAATTGCAGAAAAATTCGAGACATTTCGAGACAATTCGAGCATTTTGCTTTGTGATATAAATCTTATGAAGGGAAATGTGTTAGAAATATAATGAACGATGTTCTGGAATACGGACCGGTAGCCGAGGTGACAAAAATCTCTTCCGTTGTTCTGGAATCGCCTGAGCCTTCTTCGCAGTCTTCTTCATCGTCACACGATGGACGCTCTTGAATATTTTCCTTGTGATGTTTTGGCCTTAATGTTGTCGGCGATCGCGTGGGTGCCACGTATACTGGCGTGATGATGTCATCTAGAAATAGAATAGCGTGTAATTATCAAGACTGTGAATGTATGCGTACAATATAGTATGCAATTCAGTTATCGTTCGATATAAAATTTCCCATCATATAGCATTCAATATTCACGTAACAAAAAATATAATTATACCAATTTTCTTATGCAATTATTCTGACGTAATTTGCGTTTCTTCTCTTTCATAAATATTAAATAATAATTAAAGATATATAATGATTATCGATTTTTCACAAATAAGAGATTATATAACATGTGTGTATGTAATCGATTAATATAAATTCTTTCGAGAAATAAATTCAAATCGAATCGCACAGAAATATTTCGTGCGAAGCAATCGGCTGTTTGATTATCATGTCTCATTAAGGTGACGTTATAAAGTTAGTTTTTAGTCAGTCGAAGAAGATTTTGGAGCGGGACCTCAGTTCGTTGCAAGAGGTTCGCTGGAAGGTGAAAGGAGGGGCTGCTGCCAGGCTTATCTCCAGCTGGCGATCCTAAATATGTAAATGAATCGAAGATACAACCGGGCGAGCATGAAGACGAAAAGGTGGCATGCCATGCGATATGTGCGTGCCTTGTGCGTGTGTGTATGTGTGCGTATATGTGTGTATGCGAGCATACGCATGTTGGAAGGGAGGAATCGATGTACAGTGATCTCTAAAATTAAGAGGAATCTTGAGAACAGGATACTTTATATTCTCTCTTATACAGTTTTCGTCAATATTTTAAACATATTTCTCATCTTTTAAACATAATTTTTTTTTTTAAATATTTAATTAAAATAACTTGAAAGTTAACTTTTAAAATGTACTTACAAAAAAAAACTATATATGTGTATATACAATTATTTTATTAATCAAGAAATTTATGTAACTAATAGTTTATTTTATCTCTTGTTCCATATGATAATATAGATTTTTATTATTTCTTTTTATAATATTTATAAATCTGTTGATGCTAATGTAACGAAATATTCTAAATATAATTATTCTCAAGTATATTTTTCTAATATATGTCGAATAATCTACACATTTTTCATAATTTCTCAATCGTATAAACATTATTATTGATAACACGTGTGATAAATAATTAGTAAGATAAAGTAAAAAAATTTATCTGAAAAAATAAGAAATAAAAAAATATGTTTTATAATTAAATAAATTTCATATAATTAAACAAATTTATTATATTGTATCAAAAAATGTGGTGGTAAGAGTCGCCAAATGACGACAGTGCCTTACCAGTACATATGTTGTCCATCCTTGTCTAGGGGAGTGCTAAACATCTCTCCTTTCATACAACACGCTTGCAATCAATAGTCGCGCTCTTATATATGAAGCAAGTGGTTCACGAGCGCTCTCGAGAAAGCTGTTTTTCGCTAATAATTTCTAAACTAACAATTTTATTGCGAAACTATAAAGGAAAATATAATTGTACAAATTCTAATGCATCTTTTTACATAAATTTATGTATACATTTGTTATGATCAAAATTATCAAAGTGGTTTAATGAGCTATAATTATAACTTAAAAATAATGTTGTATGTACTCATTAAATTTATTTTGCTGTGTCCTCTACATTACTAGAAAAAAAAAATTAAGAACACGTCCCATTAAAAAAAAAAAATTATGAAACAAATTGTTCGGCTAATTTTTATTATTGCAATTTGTCGGTTAAAAGAAATAATAAATTTCTGTTCATGATAATTTTTGTTTGATTATTGTAAGTGGCTTAAAAATCGTGGCTATACCGTTAAAGAATCATCTTGTAATTAAAACTATACATTTTAGTTTAATTTCTCAAATTCAATTTTTATATTTTGCTTATAGACTTTAATGTGTGGAACTGTTCATGATATTTTTTATTCTAATTAACCGAAAATTTCAACTTATCTGTAAAACTGAATATAGAGAAAATGATGTTTATGTAATAGATTAATAATAAATATATTAAACATGTTTTTTTATATGAGACTTTTTTATAAAGATATTGATTAAAGATAAAAATAAAATTGTAACATATAATTTGGAATAGAATATTTGTGTATAACGTGTGACATAAACTTGCAGTAAAATATATTTCTTTTATAAAAAATATATTATTTACACATACGTATACACATATAGGTTTTTTTATATATGATGTGTATTATGTATGTGTGTGATATATATGAAAACATATTTTTACATGCATACATTATAAAATATAATTATAGAAAAGAGAAAAGAGGATGAGAAATACTAAAATAAATTTAAGTTAAAACAGCATAAGTGATGGAAATGAACAACTGGAAGATATACGTGTATATGTATATATGTCAATGTCAAAAAATATAAGATTTAAAAATTGAAAGAAATGAAAAAATAAAAATGAATATATAAAAAATGCATATGTGTATATTTATGGATCGACGAGACCGATGCTATATTTTTTTATGAGACATATCTGAGAAGAAAAATGTTTACTGTGCTCACAGATATATTAACTATTATAACTATTGACAAAAAACTTTCTCATATGTGAAGAGAGTCTGCAGATATAAACTATTATATCGATAAAAATATTCGAAAGATTAATGGCATTCATTGATACGCGAGATGTTACAAGACAGACGCAAGTGGATAAAAAATTCCCTTGTAAGGAGAAGAACGTGCAGAACGGATTTATTTATTACTTCCCTCAGAAATGTTACTTACACTTACCGGAACCAGACTCGTAGATTGGGGTGCACTCCTCGTCTTCGTCATCGCCGGCGCAACCACTTCCGGCGCCGGAGAATATAAGATCATCTACGACGCCGGGAAAACCGGATGCAGGTGTCTATAAATACATATAAAATTATGTAATAATGTCATTGAGATTACTTAGGAAATTACTGATGATATAATTATTATATATATAAATTATTGAAGAGATTTACTACCTGTTGCATTCTTTGCAACGGTGCGGCACGATCGAGGAGACTTCCGGCCGGCAAGAGCTGCACGTCTCCTCTAACTGTAACTTTACCATCTTTGGCTGCTGCCAGCTCTAAGATTCTCGCACCATTAACGACCAGACCGGCTATTATCCCCAGAAATGGTCGCTCTACTCTGCCCTTGCTGCGATTCCATCGACCGCCTACTTGGATAGTAGATTGGCTGTTGAACACTGACAGTTGGTGACCTGTCGAGATATAACAATTTTTAATTATTTTCATTGAACTTTATCTTATTTTTTAATTATCGTGAATTTTTTATTAAAGTTGGAATTTTATATATTAAAGATAATTAATTCTCTTTTTATTTTTCTTTCTTCTTTCTCTCTTCTCTTATAATTTGACAAAAATGATTTTAAATGAGGAATAAAATTTATTTATTTTGTTTTTACTATTAAATCGAAATTTTTTTTTGAGATAGATTCTTTGTTGTAATTTTATAAATATCCTGTTTTAAACATGTTTGATTGATTAATTCAGCAAATGTCGAAACATTTTGAGAAAAATCTTGTAACGAATTTGTTTAAATATAATGCTTCTGCGCACATCACACATAAAATATGAATATCATATTTGAACCTTTTAAGGAAAAATATATTTTCTTTTCTCTCTTTCTCAGTTATAAAATATGTGTGATAATTTAGTTTAACATACGAAAAACACATTTTATCATGTGATCAAATTAGTTGATCTTTATGTTACTTTGCCACTCTCACACTCAGAGTAATTCTGTCCAAAAATTAAAAATGACAAACTCAACTAATTATTTAGTTAAAGTTACAAGAAGAAATTTGTAATTATTATGTTTGAAATAATTTATGAGAGCCAATCCCGACGTTACTGCAATGTCAGGTCGACCCGGGCAAGGTTGGAGCAAGCTCCATGTTCTCGCCTTTGTTCAAAAATCGCAATTAATATTCTGATCCCCTATGGGGATGTATCAGATATTAAGCTGATAAGAACAGATACTACACATTTGATCTTAGCTCAAAGAGCCGAGAAGCGATACCAGTTTGCCCTGCCATACGCTTTATATACAGCTTCAACGGAATGTTGAATACGAGAAACTACGTGGAAAATACGCCGCGTAGTGATGAACGAAGTAACTATCCAATAAGATCGATTCGACTGTCTCTGTGTATGAATTACAATTCCCTTTTCATTTATACTTGAGAGTACATATGCAATTTTATATTTATTTACATAATATGTTTTATATGTATAATATGATATAATACTTTAAACTTGACTAATATTTTTGACAGTCATCAGCTGATTTGTGTCAAAAAATATTAATCGAGAAGTAAAGTATTACAATATATTATTTACAACATATTACTATTTTAATATTTTCAACATATTATTATTTTAAAATTTAATTAGCAAATTAACGCTTTATTAATATTTTTTGACAGAAATCAGCTGATTAAAGCGTTGATTTACTAATTAAATTCTTAAATAATACTATATACTTTTAAAAATTAAAATAATAATATGTTTTTAATAATGTGTTATAGTTTTTTAAACTCGATTAATATTTTTGACAGTCATCAGCTGATATCTGTAAAAAATTATTCGAGTTTAAAGTATTATAACATATTATTTACATTATTATTTTAATATCTATAACATATTTTCTTTTTAAAATTGTATTAATAAATTAACGCTTTTCATCAGCTGATTTCTGTCAAAAAATATTAATGAAGTGTAAATAAACTTTATATTATTTTTTAAAAAATATTTTTGACAGCGATCAACTGATTTCTGTCAAAGACATGTTTAAGTTTGATAGTTGACACTCGCGCTGGTCGGGCATAGTCAATCCACCAGCATGGCATAAAAATGCAGCTGGTACACCCGACCCAACAGCATCTCTTTATATATAAGAGACCAAGCGATGACATGCAGATGATATGCTGTCACGTGGATATGACAGGGCGTCCCGAATTAGCTTGCTCGGCCAAGCTGCTCGAGTTCTTTCTCGTATCGAGATAAGGATGTCATTGACGCCGCATTCCGATCTGAAGAAGTCCAATAAACTGTATCACTTTACTAGGAAAGCATAAGTACACTGGGTGTGGTCCTGCACATGCCGGTTAACACCGGTCGAATAAGTGCCGAGCCGAATCTAAAAGTGGAACCACAATCCTCGTTCTTGTCGAGAATTCACAATTAGCAATCGTACAGTCAAATCATAATAATATCGCTATTTATTTTATATTAATATCCTATTTTAATATTCTGACTTTAATATTTCATTTAAAAAAATTTTTGTAAAAAAGGGATACATGATGTTAATAATTGTGTAAAGAAATACACAGAACGTTGTTGTCTATAACTATAAAGAATATAAAAAACTTAATTTATAAATAATATACGTTATGTAATACATATATGATAAAATATGTTCTAAAATTAACGAAGATACATTTTAGTTTGATATGTATTCGAAGTTCGGGAACACAAAACTCTGAGAACTTTGAAGTGTAATTAGCTCTTTCATGACATAATCTAAATTGATAAGTAAACTGACAGGGAAGTGTGATGCACTGGGAGGTGCCAAATCCGAAAGTGGATTAAACTGTCATGCTTATGATTAGACAAGCACATTCGGCTAAAATGAATTAAAAGATGAAAATGTGTCTCAAGTTCTTAATCTTTGCATATCGATTTTGCAAGTATATATTATAAATCTTCTATATTTCTATGCATACATATATAGGTCCTAAATTTCCTGAATTTGTTCGTTTTAATTTAAACGAATAAAAAATTTGTATTTTTATGTATAATTAATTGTTTGTTATTATTAATTTGTGTTATCAATATTTAAATGTATAACAAAATTGTTTAGCGATATTAATAAATGATCTCAACAATTAAACAGAATACAAAATAAGGGTATACATTGTAGCAAGGGATATTAATGAAACCTCTAGGAATAAATAAAATAAATGTATTTCAATCAGAATTATAGATGAAAAAAAGGGGGGAAAACCATTTTATTTATAAATATATTATAATTTAAATTTTTAGATCGGGTGGACAAACAGAATCGCGTAATCAAAGTTGGAATCGATCCCTTCGAATTTTTATTCGAAAAAGCCGAATTTGAAACGAGTCCCACGGATGCGCGTTGGGAACCGTCTGGTTTCACATCGGTTTTACGGTGAGAACGGAGAGTGCTGGGTATGGGAAACATCGATGATTCCCAGGCGATGGTAGCAACGTTTCTCTCGCATACGACGTGAACAGCGAACGTAAACGCGTCGCACGTGCACGTGTATATTTAAAAGGACCGGCTCGCCCGGTTATAGTACGAGGCAAATGCGAAAACTGCAGACTCGTTTCGATCGTTGTCAAGCCATTAATTTTATATTATCTTGTTGATTTAATTTTTTCAAATTTATACAAAAAATATCACAGTTTATTCTTATTTGTTCTCTCAAATCGATAAAATGTATGCAATGTAATATACAATTAAGATAAACAGTTTCGTGTTGCTTATATCCTAATTAAATATTTATCAAGTATAAAAATGCATAGCAAACGTATAAAAATAATAAAAGCTGAATTGCGAATTAAATTCGCACAGTGTGAATTCGTATACTTTATTATTGATGAAGTGCATCAATCAAATGAAAGATTTGTCTCGATCGTCTTTGATTAGTAGTAGCACGTTATCACTGCATCAGAATTAATTACTGCCGAGCCATTAATCACATCTTCATTTATGTACCGGTTGACGATGAATAATGAGCCAGGAAAAGCATTTTCGTACACATTCGCGCGCTAAGCTAACGAGACTCGGTTAATTACAGATTTTAAAGTCTTTCAAGATTAGAAAATTCTTGTCGTTTTATGCAATTGTGCCAAAACACACACAATGCACTCTATAATTCCTTACAATTTTTAAAATCAACTCGGAATAAAAAATTATATATATTTTTATTATTTAATTTTGCTGGAGTTTTTTTATAGATTTTTTTCACACAAGAATTTCCAAACTTCTATATATTGTATAGATATAAAAGATCTTTCCTTGTTTTGATGCTTCAATCTCCGCCTAACAAAAGCAATAAGGAGACGCTGCGGGAATCGGCCGTTCTCGACCGGTCGTCGAGAATCCTGTCTGGTAGGTTTAGAACGACCTTCAGATTCCAAGGCTGTTCCTAGCACACGAGTGCAGCTTAGGCCAACTGCCATCTCAAGATGTTTGCCTGGTTCTTCTAAACATGTAACTTAGAATGATGCTAACCTGTCTGCGACGATACGAGCTTATTATCGTCAAATACGTTATATAATACGTTATTATTGGCACATACACATTTTTTAGCGTGCAGAAGACCAAAATTTCAGACAAAAGACGTTTGTACGTTCGTATTTTATTTTTTTATGCATTACAGGCCGCGAGTAATTAAAATTTGATAAAGGCATTTATTCGTTTGAAGAGAATTTAACATATATTGAACTTTAAAAAAATGTTTTATGCGAGCATATATGCGTAAAATAATAGTAAGAGCACGTTTAGTAAATAATATCTCAAAACCAATTATTTCCTAAATAAAATTTATTTAAATTTCATGTTATTATGTCAGATTTTAATTAAAAAAGTATATATATATTTTTTTAAAAACGCGTTGAATAAAATAAATCTGTGTTAAAAATATATTTTAATTAGTTTTAAGATTCATATAAAAAAAAAATTAACTTGTTATTGTAGAGTCCGTAAGCTTGTCATATGTCTCTCAGACTGTTTCATATTAGCGTAGGTGTGGTCGGGACCATAAAATCGATGTCAGATTTAAATCGGGATCCAAAAAAAGGTTTCTAGAGGCAAAGAATTCCGAAATCGTGAGAAAAGAGTCTCATAGTACGGTTTCGGTATAACGCTCGTTCCGTTGGTTTTTCCCATGACGCCGACATAAAAAATAATAAGATTTCGGAGGCGCAACGCAACGGTCAGAGTCGAGCGTGAGAAGATGTTAAACTTGGGGCTGAAATCGTCGTTCCTTGTAGCAGGCATGTATGAACATGCAGGAGCAATTCTCGCATCGTGTCCTTTAAAAGGTTCTTTAGGCATTTAAATTAAGCCTTTAAACTACAAATGTCGTATATAGAATGACTCGTTATCACTAATGATAATCCAGGAAGACAAATCGCACGCATGGAATAAAATTCTGTCCCAAAATCTAATACTTCTCTTTTGTCATTAAAAAAATATAATATAAATTATTTAAAATTACAATAATAAATAATTATACAATCCCATTAACAAGGTACCATCGATAATGCATGCATTGCTCCGTAAAAATAATTGCGAGAATTAAATTCTAGAGAAGAAGAAATTTGCTACTTAAGTTCGACTTATATGCAAGAAGTTTCTTTCATAGTACTAATTTTTTTAATTTTTTTCTGGACATATGATATACACAGGTTTCGAAACCTGTCGTGACTTCGATCGATGTAAAATAGGCGTGTGACAATTCGAGAACATATTTGTACCCTTCGCGCACAGCGAGAATCTCGAGAGAACAACGCGCTCTTCCTGCGTTTTCTCACGAATTCCAGACCCAAGCTGATTCCCACAGGCTGATCGCAGCAACGTGGGACAAATTGTCCCCGGGGCCAGCCAAGCGATCTGGTTCGGTAGTAGGCTTGTAGACGAGCGAAAGAGTTTCGCGGCGAATTCGCAGCTTGCGTGTTGTTCTTATTTATCGAATAAATTGGGCTGATTCGGAGATGGAATGGAAAGAAGAGAGACGAGACTTGCATCCAACGACGCATATCTATTTGTTTACGCAAGCTGTAAGAATATTTTTCCTGAACCGAGGATCGTCATTCGGCGATGATACAATCGACTGTTTCGAACCGTACAATTAGAAGTCAGAAAGGAATCATGATAAGGGTCAAGTTTTACGACGGGGCATTCAATTCGAGAGGTCGGCGATCTTCGACACGGGGGGTTAAACGGCTTAAAATGACCAGTACTCGGACGGAGAAGAGATGA